AATGACAAATTTCTCGATCGATTCGATTGTAATGGATTTTTTTTGTTAAATAAATAAAGATATTCTGTACAAGGAAATTTCATATATTCCAAAAATTCTTTTATATTCGAAATATAATAGTCGAAATTTAAGTTTTAAGATTTTCAAAATAGCTCTAAAGTATTTCGAAATTTTCAGGGTGTCAAATTTTTCTTATCGAATCGAGCTCGAATTCTTGTTTATATTCACAAGTATTTGTAATTAAACAGATACTACTAATGGCAAACAAACACACATCTCTTCACGTCTAGATCGAAAAATTATTAAGAACGTTTTTTTAACATTACGATTGTTTTATATAAGATAACGACAGTTAGATAACGCGTTATAATCGTAAAAGTGATTAGTATCGATAATATTTATCGACGAATACCGACAAATTTTCCGATAATGAAGATATTGATTAAGCAAAGTGAATATAACGATAAAGCACTACAATGTAACAGAAAAAAAAAAAATGTACAATTATCGGATAATAAAAGAGAAAAAAAAAGGAAAATTATTAATAATTATATAAAAAATTATAATAAATAATATCACACGTGATACATATATATATATATATATATTTCTTCTTGATGTTTTTTTAGTAATCTTTTTAAAGAATCTAGTTACTTATTATTTATCATTTTACAAATTTTTCAAATATTAATTTTCTTTATTCGTACCGTACATTAAATGATTCTTTTTTTTTTTTTTTTGAATTTTTGCACAAACTTACCAAAGTTATCATAGCCTGTGAATGAAATATTCAGATGAGTGTAAAATAAAGAAAAGTGAAAGAAAAGGAATTATTTGAAAAGAAAATTATTTAAGAAAATGAGTCAGAATCAATTTCATCTTCGTGCTCCAAAACGAAGAATGACAAGAGGCTGTTCAGCCGTTTACATCGTTGAAGATAAACTTTCTCGTCTACTGCCAGGACGGTGATTAGCTTCGAAAGTTATATTACAAACAGTCTGTCATCCCTTGGCGTTGATATTCGAGTGGCTCGAGTGTTCCTCAACCTCGAAAGAAGCTGCGAAGAAAAAGAAGATAAAGAAGGAGGGATGTGTCATTGGAGTCACGCAGTCTGTTTCATTCTTATAAACGTATAGCTCGATTACTAATTAACGTAATTAATGTCAAAAATAATAATTTGTTACAAACGTTATACACTTAATATAACGAGGTTTTTTCATTTCTCATATTTTCACGTTATTTCACGTAAAACTATATAATTTATTTATTATTACCTTTGAAACGTAATCATCCAGAGATGTTTATGTAAATTAAAATTTTTACGAGCACAAGATGAAATTAAATTTACTTATTATCCTTGTTATTATTCCATAAATTGGTAAATATATAATAATATTTTAATTTAAAATAATTTTACATTATTTACAATTATATTTAAACATTTATAATTATATATAAAATTATTTCGCGCAATTACAATTTAAGATTTATCAAAGGCCAAAGTAATGTAATACCCGATCCATCGTAATCTACGAATGTCTGTCGCAAATTATTAAACATACGCGACCGTACGTCAATTCCAACGTTTATATTTACCAGTAGACTTAACAACGGAGGAAAGAGGAGGTGTGCATCGGAGCAAGGGAGAAAGAGTGACGACTGCGGCGTACAAAGACGTTCAGGGGATGACGGGAGGAAGGGGGTGGGGAGAAAGGCAAGGGGATGTGTCTGGCTGATGGAGCTTGAAACTGAATTAACCATCCCCGCCCGAGGGCCGTGATCTCGTCGCAACCTCATCTCGGGGTCCCATTATATTTGTCTTTGTATGCTAAACATTTTGCGGAATTATACGGAGAGGTAAGTTTCCAAGTGTTCTTTGTCCATCTTTCTCTCCCTTTGACGCGCTATCATCAGTGTTTTCCAATCTTTTTCGTGCTAAAATCCCCTTTTTTTTTTGCGAATATTCGAACAACCGAATATTCGACTCCCAAAGCGAAATTTCTTCTTCTTCCTCTTCTTCCTTTGTATTCCGGACAAAATTTAGCATTGGTTTAGTAAAAATGAAACGATTTTTGTCGATTTTTGAGTTAAACACCGAGAGAGAATTATCCTCGTTTTCCTGTACAATATGGCGACGTAATTAACAAGATGGCGACGCGATACTAGCGCCACGCGAATATTAACCACTAATACTCTACCCAACTATTTGTCTATTTTTTTCCTCTTTAAAATTATTCCATTTAAATTGATGTTTGAAATTCGATGGAATTGGAAAATTCAGAATGTAGAAAAGAAAGTTTAGAATGTAGAAAAGAAGAAAACATTTTTAAAACATTTGTAATAGAATTTTTACAAGAATTTCGATAACGAAAATTTTTTCTACTTGTATCAGAAATTAAAAGTTTGATCGATAAAGCAAGAAAGAAAAAATTCGCAGACTCATATCGAGAGCTCTGTTGTGCGATCGATTAATCGGTGAGTACAAAGGGGACGGATCTAAAAGGATTGTTGGATGTGCAAGCACCGTGTCGAGTATCAAAAGATTCGTTCTAATCTCGCGAATACGACGTATTTGTTCGTCGGTGTCACGCTGTCTGCACTGTCATAAATCGATAACACCGTTTTACCAGGTATTCTTATCGATAACAACGCAATGCCTACGATAGCCGAATGTCGGCTTTCGTTTCTTCTTCGGCTAATATTATATCGGCAAATTTGCGGATCGGTGAAAATTCGCAAGAATACGTTTTCGCGGCGATCCTCGTGCAAACACGTTGGTCAAAACTATTGCAAAAAAATGTATGTGCAAGTCTATTTTTTATTTTTGCAGTTCTTCGATTTTTTAAAAAAAATGGATCGCTAATTATATTATTTTATTATTATCACTTCGAAGATTAATATGATAAGAAATAAATTTATTATGTTGTTGGTTAATTATTGGAGAAACGTTTTTTGAAAAAATTCTATTTTTTTCTTTAAGATATATAATATTGTTATTATTTTTAATTATTCTGATAATTTCCTTCCTTTTTTATTTTCGTTTTAAATTCTGTTAGTATCGTATTAAAATATTTTTATTAAGAAAATTTGGTTTATTAAGAAAATTTATTAAAAGGATTCATAATAATAATTTATAGTAGAGCTTATTATGTTTTCGGCATTGTATTATAGAAAAATTGTTTATTTGACCTTTAAAGTATCTATTAAAATGGTTATTAATTTTTATAGTTGGACAGAGTGTGAAATTTTCAGTTGACATGTAGTATCGGTCTCTTTCCTGTATAATGGATTGTATATATACTAGGTATAATTACTTTAAATACAGGTATACAACAAAATATGCTTCCGAATTCGAAATAATGAAAACAAAGAAAAGAAATGTATAGAATATTCAATAGAAATAAGAAGATGAAAATAAATAACGAATAATAATACTTATCCCTTTATGACTATTTTCTAACAATCAATAAATCATTTAATTTTTAATCTGGAGAATAGTATACTTTAGACAATAAATTATAAACTTTTTAAAAATCCTTTACTTTATAAAGGGAGGAAGGATTTATGAAAAATCACCAAAATTCAAGAAAAATCTATTTATCATAATAATACTTGCCTGACGAAAATGTTTCAATTCTTTTTTTAATAAATTTTAAAACCTCTTTAAAGTATCTCGATACTTAATATATTGCATAATAAACACATTAAATTTTATTTCTGTTCATATTTATTTAAATTTCCTATTTTACTTAAAATATAATCCTGGAAAAATATATTCTGGAAATTCGATCGAATCATTTTAAATTTTAAAATGTAAATATAAATACGCGTCATTTTATCATGTTACGTTGTTAATATATTTATATCACGAATATTTTATGCTAAATCGATTAAAAAAGAAATAGATGTAAAATGGTAAGCGAGGATGAAAACTATAAAACAAGTAGCCGCGTGTGAATATACATGCGGAATTATAAATGCTTGACAATGTAATTTCGTTTTCAATCACGCGTTTTTCGATACCAAAAATTCTGTCTCTCGTTCGAGTTTTCGCAGTATTTCCGCCATCCGCGTGCTCGATCCACAGTCAAATTGTTGTAACGAATAAACTCCTCGTTAAAACGCGTGAAAAATCTCGAAAAGCGGGTTTAAAAATTTTTAACAACATTATTCAACTCAATACATGATTTTTACAAAATAAATATTGAAACATTGAAATTGAAATTATATTTATCCAATAGATGATAGAAAGAAAAGAATAAAGAAAAAATTATTTATAACTTTATCCTTTCGGGATATTCGATAAAATACGACTGTAACATCCCCTATTTTAAGTTATATCAACCTTCTCCCTTTAACACGAATAATAATAATAAATAAAAAAAAAAGGAAATAAATATCACAAATATTTTTATGACAATATTATATTATAAATTTCGTAAAAATCGATCGACATTTTTCCTTGCCATTCGTGCATATATATTTAATTCCAGGATCAAATATTCTTTCTTTAATCACTTCCCTCTCCTTATTCTCATTATTCTTCTCTTCTCTTCACAATCTCTTCATCAAAGATCAAACTTAGTACAACTGAGAACAAGTAAACTTTGCAAACTTCTTATATATAATTATCACGCGAAAGAGTTCCTCGATTCGAAGAAAGAATAAACACCTACAATAATAATAATAATAATAATAATAATAATAATAATAATAAAACAACTGGTAAGAAGCAAATTTATAAACACATGATAAACACATATGTAAATACGAATATATATATATCTATTGCCGAATCGCGCGCAGCGACAAAATGGCAAGACAATTCGCAGCATTACCTTTCGTTTCGAAACCCTTTTAATCGCATTAACGGCCAATTAACGTCGCAGCGATTAGCTTGGTGGCGGGGGAGTGGGGAGCGAAGGCATCATCCCCGGAGCGTAAAAGCGGCAGCCTGAAAGCGGCAAGGGAGCACGGTGGCGGTGGTATATCCGCTCTTCTTCCCTCTCTGCGGGGAGCCGGGGGGTCGACGGTGTGCGGGTACGCGAGCGTCGCGACGCCCGGAGGGATCCGCTCTGACCCGGAAGCTCCGCCCCTGTGGAAGTCGAGCCGCCAACCGGCATATCCAACGTACGGTAGGAGGAGCCACCGTGTCCCCTTGGCGCCAGGTAACCCACGATCCTGGAACCTCTCCGAGGCTAGTCTGTTGCCATTTAGTACCGCGCCGACTCTCGAGCAAGCGTTGTCTTATTCCTTTTTTTTTTCCCTCCTTCCTCGCCTCTCCATCTTTCCATCCCGGAAGAAGACGGAAGAGCGTAAAACGAAGGCCTCGACGATCTTCTCTCTACTTTTTTTTTTTCTTTTTCCCTTCCCTTCTTCTTCTTCTTCTTCTTCTTCTTCTTCTTCTCTCTCTCCTCCTCGCGGTGCAACGACGACAACAAACAACCGTTCGTCCGGATAGATGTGCACGAGAGTCGAGAGCGAGCAGATATTTTTCCCGGACCGAGATATCGGAACGAGTTGTTCGAAGTGTGGACGATTCTCTTTCGTTTTCGATCGTGAAATCGTAGGAATTTTATTAGGTTTGCTTCGGTGTATCGAGAGAAAACAGAGAGAGCGTTTTTGTTAAGAGGGCATGGAGACGAAGATGGAACCGTTGACACCGCCGCACACACCGCCCATGATGGACAGGACGATGCATCAACAGTTGCACACGTCGAGATGGTTAAGATCGAGCCAACAACACTTCGGAAGATTTGGCCAGCAACATTCGAACGGCGGGCAAAACGTTGGTTATCAGACAGCTTTCCTCAACAATTGGCTGAGGGATGCCGCGTTGCTGGCTGTCAGGGGTTGTTGCCCCCAATCAACGTCCACGCATCATTATCACCATCATCATCACGGTCACCATCATCATCAAGGTGTCCATCCAGCGCTCCCTGTCCCACCTCCCGCCTCGTTTCTAACCAGAAGGCTGCCCGGCCAGAGACCGAAGAAACAGTTCATATGCAAATTTTGCAACAGACAATTCACCAAGAGCTACAATCTATTGATACACGAGAGGACTCACACGGATGAGAGACCTTACTCTTGTGACATTTGCGGGAAAGCATTTCGAAGACAAGATCATCTGAGGGATCATCGGTGAGTTATTGGAATTTGAGTTATTGAAATATTCTTCGAAACCCTGTTTTTTTTTTTTATATACGTGACTGCTATTTTTTTTTTTCTGTCCTTTTCTGTTTCTGTCGCGTTAAAATTTCGTTATTTTGGAATGACAAGCGTGTTTTGGGTGATCAAAAATTGCAATTGTCTCGAATTTGTATCGAATTTTTATTTTTATTTTATTAAAATTAACGTTTCAAGACAATATTTATCATAGACAAGAATATTTTTAATGATCGTGTATTTATTTTTGTTAAAAGAAAAAACATGTACCGGATTCGACAAAAAAATAATAATAAATTATAATTATTATATATATTAATATATTATTAATTATGTTATAATTATTATATATATTATATATTATGTAATAATAAAAATAATAAATAATTTCCATGTATTTCTCTTGTTATATAATTATATTGAACAAATTGAAAAATGTAAAATGAAAATTAACGTAAATCTTGTTATAAATAATTATACTAAGAGTTTCTAATAATTCTCTAATCGTTTTTCCATATAATTAATACAATAAATTTTTTTCTATAATCATACTTATTTTTTTATTATAATTACCACGAGACACCGTCATACTCTCGTTTCGAAACGTAAAATCAAAATTTAAAAACAAAAAACAAAAATTGCATTGTATAATATTTCATTGCAATTATTCTCTCTCTCCCTCCCCCCTCCCTCCCCCTCCCTCCCCCCTCTCTATCTCTCTCTCTCTCTCTCTCTAGATCCAAAAAATTAAATATCAGTAGTTTTTACCTTGTATCGGTAAAAACACTTGCCAAGCCGTTATCAGTTTCGACAAATTTATCAAGCGGAACTCCTCGGATTCGATCGACGTATTATCGATCGACGAAATCTCAAGAGAACGATCGTAAATTGATCAAAATATCCCCCCCCCTCCCCTCTCCCTCCAAAAATCTCTTGCTTATCAACTCAATTCACTGTATATCCGATATATTCTAAGAAAGATGTAAAGGAAAAAAAAAAAAAAAAAATGGCGAAGAAGAAGAAAGATGCCCAAGAAACCGGACTCGTTTTTTTAATTTACAATTTAATTTTTTATAGTTACATTCACAGCAAGGAGAAGCCTTTCAAGTGCAGCGAATGCGGGAAAGGATTTTGTCAAAGCAGGACACTTGCCGTTCACAAGATACTTCACATGGAGGAGTCCCCTCACAAATGTCCCGTCTGTTCAAGAAGCTTCAACCAAAGGAGCAACCTGAAGACTCATCTTCTCACTCACACGGACGTGCCCCAAGATTTGAGAATCGAGGGATCGGTGGCTTCGGATCTGTCGGCCACCACGGCGGTCAGACAGATGGCGGATAGGGTGAGTGGACTGATCCCGATTCAAAGGACCAGTACCACCCCTAAGCTAGGATTTAGCATAGAGGAAATTATGAGACGTTAAAAATTATATACCATCCCTCGCAAGCTAATTTAACGATACTTTGATGAACAACGCTTTCGCGCTTTCCCGCGGAATCTGCGTGCTTCGTTTCTTAAAATCAAATTAATAAGTAAACGATTTTCTGTGTCTTCTTTTTAAGGGCTGATTTTGCATTTGGTTTTGCCAGTTACACTATATTATCTAGTATTATAATATTACAATATTATAATATTATCCAATATTATAGTTAATTGGTAATAACCGTGTATGTCATTTCTTAAAAATTTATGTACTTTTTAGAGAGTATATATTTAACTTCTCAATATGATATGACTTTGGTTTGGTTATTTATAGAAAAAAAGAAAAACATGTATGCTTTTACTTGTATTTTTACTATTCATATTTTACTATTTACAGAAAAAAAGAGATGCAAAAATTTGATTTACTTTGACTTGTATCGCAGTTAATTGAGGATCAATCACGATATTAGAATCGTGATTGAAATTCTTCAACAAATTACGCGAGTAGAAATAATTATTTTTAATGAGAAATAATTATTTTCGTACGAAGCACGCTGGTTTCGAGTATAGTATAATTCGCGTTGTAAATATAATTTCCTTGATTAAATTATTCAATTTAATGCTGTTCATGTTGCGAAGAGGGAGGAACGACTAGCTTACCAACTTCGTTTTCCCCTTTTTCCTTCGACTTGTAAATAATCTTGTACTTATATGTAATTGTACGATAGTAGCTAAATTACTCGAAAACGAATGTATTACATTGTAGGTATTCATCGCGGAAAATAGATAAATTATCGTCATCGTTACACTCATACGAATTACAGTCTTCTAATTTATTATTTCGAACCAAAAATCTTTGAAAAAACTGTTTGTAGCGTAACATTTCTGTTTCCATTGATCACATGGATTTGTTAACACGTAATGTACAAATTCAATCTTTTGTACAGATTGAATGATCAATTGTAAACTGCATTTCCGAATATTCAAACAATTTCTATATTTAAAAATTTCATGGATGTTAAAATTTTTTTTCTGCTAATAATTTTTTCGAATTGCATGCATTTGAATTCATACTGCAGAATTTTTGATATTTCAAAATTTGTAAAATTGCTTTCTCTCTTTTCATAAATAATTGAATTAATGAATAATCAATTTATAATTTTCCTTTTTTCGAAAATTCACAGCAGTTAGCATTATAATATATAGAATTTTTATTTGTAGCTTCAAAATCTTATTCAAAAAGTGCATTTTGAATATTCATATTGCAGAATTTTAATATACAGAGTATAACATAATATGTTAGATCAAAGTTTGATGAGCGAAAAATTATAGATTTACATTTATTATTTTACGAGAGAAATAATTTAAAAATTGATTAAAAAAAAATAATGAGTTTTATATATATTTTTTGAAGACTGCTAAACACAAAGATATAAGTGAGGTTTATTATAAGTAATTTTAGGAAAAGTTTGCGAGATGGAAAGAGGATGACATGGTGCGCCGCGCTGTGGCACAATGACGTAACAGGAATCTGTCTCTCTTTGTCTCTACCTAGCTTCATCAAATTTTAATTATATTATAATATCATAAATAAGCCTCGATCGATACCTTTTGGTATCCTCGTTTTAATTTCTAAAATCTATTACATATTCAAAGGAATCTCACAGAAATATTAATATTTTACATAGGGAGCAATTTTTCTATTTTTTGAAATATGAACTTGAACAGCGTAAAATCGAATCTTCCAAGTTATATTTAGTATTTTTTTATTTATTTTTTTTTTTAAATATAATTTTAAACTTTATAACTTATAATTTTAGATAGAATGGTATAAGTGAAAGAAGAAGAGCAGAAATGTATATATAAAATATTTATATGTATTAATAATTTTTTAATTTCAATGCTCTCTTATTCCGTTATAAAGAATATTTACGAGGAAATTGTATTTAAAAAATAAAATTATATAAATTTCGGGATTGATTTCACTTTTGCAGAAAGATTTTTCTGCTGAAAAAGAGTATTTTATGTTTAATATATTCGTATACTCAAACTTTTGTTCTAACGTATCAATAATATTTCGGATTTTCAATTTGAAATTTCGATCTTACAAATTATTTTATACTCTGTATAAATTTCTACTATAAAATTTTAGAATTTCTACATGCATTTTCATATTGTAAAAATCAATTATTATTAGAGTATCGTTGCAAATTTCGTTATTCGAAAGTTTGGAAGCATCCAGGAATTTTAAACATACGAATAACATCAAAAGTTAAGTATTAAATTATTTATTATAACCAAAGCTTGTCGAATAAGGAAGGAATTAAATAAAGACAACGAATATGTCAAATGAGTATAAAAACCAAATTTTTATTTCATCAAAATGACCAAATTTTCATTTTTATCTCCAAACAAATTTCTGATTATTTTTATTTTAATTTTCTTTTTTTTTCTTTTTTTTTTATTCATTTTCCAAAATTTTCGTGCGAAATATGATTACTTCCAAACTTTTCTACAATAACGTATCCTACGAATAATACGAGGCGTCACTGTATCTCTAAAGGCGTCAAAATAATTGGTCACTCCAAGGGATAGACAACGATCAGTCCCAGGAAGCCGCAAGATGTTTTTTTCCTCTATCGAGGTTGAAATCGAGTTTTTCCGTGTGTACCCACCATCGCCACTATTTTTTCCCTCAAAAATTAGGAATTCCACATCAGATAAAAGGCCAACATGTCCCGGTAGTTGTCCATGCGCCACCTTTCTCTTCACCAGTGTGACCTGTAAGTAGTCCCAAAGATCTTTTCTTCTATCTTTCTTCTCTCTCTCTTATTGTCGTTTAATCTAGGAGAAGAAAAAGGTCCCGCTTCTCGCCTCGTGGACCACCCACATCTTGTACATACACGTATAGTTTATATATATATACATATACATATATATATAAATACCTGACACGATCGTGGAAGTTGTCGCGAGGCTCTCAATGTTTTCCTTTTCTCGGGGCCCTTTTACTTTAAGGCCCTCTCTTTTCTTTCTCTCTCTCTCTCTTTTTCTCTTTCTTTCTCATTCTTGGCGATTCCAACACGTTACCATTAATTTAAGGGCGAATAAAATTGTTTAACGAAGATTGATCTCAAAATTTTGATCTTTGAGTTTTTAGATTTCGATCGATTTGATTGTAAAAAAAAGAATTTCTAAGTTGCTCGAAAGAAGTTTAATTCTAGTTTTAATTGTAGTATATGAATTGAATAATAAAGAAATTATATATTCTGCATATCATTTATACATACAGATACAACACATTTCGAAACGTTGAATATCATTTGCAATTGAAATTAATTGATTTAAATCGACTTATAAATTGTTCTAGTCACTTTTGATCCAACGATACTCGTTCAGAATGAGAACAAAAGTGTAAAATGATTTTGAAGAAAATTTTATAAATCTTTGAAAATTTTCTTAAGTTCTGAAGAGATACCAAAATAGAGATACCAAAATTGTTTCATTAAGAAATATACGAGTTTTCACAAAAATGGTAAACCGAATGTTTGATATTTGTAAAAGTATTTTTTTTTTTAAATTAATAATTAATTGTTTAAGTAGAATAATTTAATGAATACGAAGTAGAAATTTTAAAGTTAATTCAGAATAGATTTTTCTTAGAATCGAAGTTTTTTAAACAATCCTTATAGAAAGTTTTTATAGAATAATTTAATTATATTATCGATGATTATTTCGTAGCCGCTAAAAATTTTTAATAAATTTTTGTGCCTAATTTTTTTTATCGTTGGCCATTTTGTCTTCCTTAATGTATAAAAATAATATGTATGTAATATGTGTATTTCGATAATAGAATTAACGTGTTTGAATGTGTTGGGAAAGAATGTACGTGCTAGCGCGTAGTTATATCAAAAAAAAAAAAAAAAAAAAAAAAAAAAAAAAAAAAAAAAAAAAGGGAAATAAAAGAATACAGTATCGCTCCAGTCTATTCTAATGTATATTTAAATATTGTTATTTGATTGGAAATAGAAATGAAATTGAAACACGATTAATACTTGATAATTTTTCAAATTATCCATTATCCTATATTAAATTTTAAAATATTATTTTTTTTCCCCATATATTTTATCTACCAATAATTCATTATTCCATTATTAATATTATAATTTTAATATCGATAATAAAAATCGTTTTAAACAATTTATGAAATTCTTTATAACGATTTATTTTACATAGAAATCGAAAGGTAAAAATTTCAGTTTTCATTTCAATTTTTTTTCTTTCATGAAAATATACCATTACCACGAAGTAAATACTTGTCAAAAATTGATTATTTATTTTGGTTTTCTTTTCTTCCTTAAATTGCACATAAAATATAAAATATTTCGTAATTATCTACATAAAAGCTTAAGAAACCTCATATTCTTTAACTATATAATTAAAATAATAAATATTCGTCTAAAATAGATTTTTGGTTTCGCTTTCTTCTCCTCCTCCCCCCATATTGAATTTCACATAAAATTATCCTTAACATAATTCACCGTCCTGTAACTACAAAATAATAAATATTAACCATTTAATTCTACTATACAAGTATTTACACTAAATAAAGCCTTTATTTCGTCCCTTATAAGGAGCTTCCAAAGCTCCTTGTCGATGAATGACTTGTTTGGAAAGAGTTTCGCATAAACCAAAAGTCTTATACCACCGTCCATAATAATTTCACAGTTGTTTCATTATATCCTTTTGGTCTCCGCTTGTCGAACTATCACGTTTTCTCGACAATGGCAAGCAGTTAACCTGCTTGCCAGGCAGTTAGCCTTGTTTGACTTTAATTAATTTCCCCGGCCCTTCGAGACGATGAGGCATGATGAAAAATCGAGTAAACAATTCGACCTAACCTATAACGCTTGCTCGTCTTCGCGATAACTTCGGTTCATTGTGCTCGATCTCTTAGATTCCCCCTCGGATTGATTTATTTATTTTACGAAATAAATTTTCTTTCTAAGAAAATTGCTATATATTGTAATTAAATGTGTCGATGTGTTCAAGAGAACGTCGCAAGAATACGCGACAACGGTATGTTTTAAAAATATTTTTCCCATCGTAAGATTGGACCCAATGTTGGCAAATTGTTTCGTTCCGTCACGCTCATCAAACACTGAAAAAAACTAAGCGTTTTGGGAAGGCGATCCATCCTGTCCTCGATTTAGAAAAAGTGATTAGTCTTCCCCGTGGAATAAGTCACGGTGGACTCATCGTGGTACCAGGAACCCTGGCGTAATGCTGTGATTATTGTAATTAAATCGTCCCCGAAGGCGAAGGGGGAGGTAGGAGGGGATCCTCTTCCTCCCATTTCCCATCCTCCGCTAAATAGTATTTTTGTTTCTTCTCTTCCTTCCAGCTACGGCTACCTGCATCCTGATGTATCTCCTCTGTATCTTTTCTTTCTTATTCGAATCCTTATCTAGGAGGATTTCTAGAAGGTTGCAATTATCCTTCACACCATTTCGGTTAGTTCTCGATCGATAAATCATCGCGATTGCGGGGAAAAGAATGAATGTTCTTCGTGCAAAAAATGTAGGGGAAAGTATGATAGAGTTGAATACCTAATTTTAAATATTTTTTATAATAATAAAGAGTCATAGAGTGTAAAAAGATTTCACTAGAAATTAATCCTTCGTAATTATTTCGAATCCCCGTATAAAATTCATATTGTACGATGATTATGAATAAATAAATAAGAATTTTTGCAAATTTGAAGAAATAACACAAATTTGAACAAATAACATAAAAAATAACCATTGGTGGA